CCTCGATGTCTCGAAAAGTTCCTTTAACTTGAAAAGTTTGTTTTTTTGCAGCTTTATTTCTGATACCTGCTGGTTCTGGTTCCTGGTTCTGTAGAACCTGGTAGGAAGTTGGGTCAGAACCAACACTGGGAGGAACTTCCGGACCTTCTGGTTTCTACCTTTATCTGTTCTGTAAAGTTCTGATGAACTGTTACCATGGAAATAAAGCCTCCTGCTCTCTAACTGGTTCCGTGATCTTTGGGTTAACACGGCTGCAGAGGTTCTGGTTCTGGTTCTGTCTGGGCCAGTTGTCATTGGGTCTGGTTTTAAACCTGTACTTCTCCACTATTACCAGCAGGTGGCAGCGTCTGCCAGGAAGGTTTTTATGGCCAGGTTCTGAATGGGCTCTGTTTCATGGACCCTTTCCAGGAACTTCTGGATCCTCTTAACCGGACCTTTAGAGGTGGTTCTGTCAGGAGATCAGATTTTCCAGGTGGTTCGGTCCAAATAGCTGAACATTCAGGAGGCCGATGTCCTGCTAGCGAAGGACCAGGCTTGGTTTGGTCAGAACTCATCCAACATCTCACCTTGAAGGACTTCTTGGACCTGAGCTGGTTCTGGTACTCCTCAGTGGGTTCTGATGGATCCTGGTTCTGTCGGGTCAGACTCTGAATCCTAGATCTCTGAGGTTCTGCTTCTCTCTTTGGTTTTGATTCAGTTTCTCTCTGAGGTTCTGGTTCTCTTTGGTTCTGGTTCTATCTGGTTCTGGTTCTATCTGGTTCTGGTTCTCTTTGGTTCTGGTTCTCTGAGGTTCTGTTTCTCTCTGAGGTTCTGTTTCTCTTTGGTTCTGATTCTGTCTGGTTCTGGTTCTCTCTGAGGTTCTGTTTTTCTTTGGTTCTTATTCTCTCTTTGGTTCTGGTTCTATTTGGTTCTGTTTCTCTCTGGTTCTGGTTCTCTCTGAGGTTCTGTTTCTCTTTGGTTCTGTTTCTCTCTGGTTCTGGTTCTCTGAGGTTCTGTTTCTCTTTGGTTCTGGTTCTCTCTGGTTCAGGTTCTCTGAGGTTCTGTTTCTCTTTGGTTCTGGTTCTCTCTGGTTCTCTGAGGTTCTGTTTCTCTTTGGTTCTGGTTCTCTCTGGTTCTCTGAGGTTCTGTTTCTCTT